ATCTATTATCCATAATCCAAAAGAAAATGCAAAAATATGGCTTGGAACTTACGGTTGAGAAAATAAAAAAGATAATGCTGCATGAGAAATTGGGCTTTTGCATAAAAAAAAAAAGAAACTTAGGTTTTGGAAAACGTATGGCATAGGGAGGGTTTGAGAAAAAAAGGAAAAAGCGTATTTTAAGAGATTAAAGGAACAGAGACAAGATTTCTATGGAAGAAGCCGTGAGTGATAAGATTTAGTTAATTTCCGAAAACAATTACTTAGATACGTTTTGGTAGGATTAAGACTTAAGAGTGAGTTTATAAAGGATATTTTTGATATAAAAATAAACTTTTTGTCATGTGACGCAGTAGTTGTGAAATCTCAAAAATAGTGAGGAAAATTGCAAGAGTAGGTAATCTATATTCTCAATTGGGAGGGCAACTAATAAGAGATAATGGCGAGGTTAGACGATGGTTTTCCGTTATGTAGTCTCTCATTATCATCTAAATCACTTGATTGGTTTTTGCATGTTATATGAAAGAGATATATATTAGTTTCTTATAATTTAAGATTGAATGTTTCAATGTATAATATATCAAATTATGTGTTTGTTACTCGAAATAAGTAATTAGTTTTTTTTTGAAAATAAAATCTCAAATTACAATCTTAAAATACTATTTTTTTGATATTGTTGTTTCGCGCAAGGCGCGGGTACCTTCCTAGTTACTAAAATATGTAAATTAGTATACGTTTCTGACCAAAAAAAAAGAAAAAAATATTCTATTCTTTATTTTTTTGGAAAAACTATACACTTATAGAAAAAAAAAATTAGAATTTTGAATAATGTGACAATCATCTGTTAATAACTCAAATGTCGTGGTACACAAGTGTTGATAATTCAAATGACCTAATAGCTGATTCAATAATCGTTAACGAATCAATCTATGTTTCAATAATTACATGAACTAGGTGATCCCTGCGCTACGCTGCGGAATGATATTTTTAATTTTATATAACAAAATTAATTTTGTATATAGATTATATTTTGAGATTATATCATAATTTTCCTTATATATAAACTATATTAACTAAGCAGAGTATAAATTTTTATCAAAATAACTGTTTTTTTCGCTGATTTTAAATTAAATTTATATTACACTTTACACCACCGAAAAAATGTTTGGCTAATTTAAATTTATAAAAATTTAAAAATTTGTTTGAACTTTTTTTTTTTGGCTGATTTAAAACTTTTATATAATTAGTTATTTTGTTATGATGTACTATAATATAAAGTTTTGTAACCGAACATTGCCATGGTGTGAAAACATTCGTAACAAGCACTTGAATTTTAAAATGAGCAAATACTACAACTCTACAAGAACAACAAAGCTAATCTGGTTTTGTAGCAAAAAACATTTTATGTAAAAAACTTGAACATTAGATAATCATGCTTATCTCGTTTTGAAGTTTGAACTGACTTAAATTAGAATAAAAAACAAGTATTAATCAACCACTGGCTGAACATTGTAACAGAGTAAGAGCAGAAAAAAAGCTGAAATATTGCAGTCTACATATATAACTCATGATTACTTGGAACAGAAGTGGAGGCAAGACGCATATCTGAATGGGCAAAGAGAGCTTCAATCAATGTCCCTTACGATTTGTCTGAAACAGAGAGATATCCAGATGGAAAATCAATCCTCCGCACCAATCCTTCCCATAGTTTCTCAATCTCCGAAGCGCAATCTTTGAGATAAGTGGCCGTTGAGAGATCTGGAATATCTTTTAGGTTTCCAGATCCTGACAGATCCACATCCTGGAGGTATGTAAGAGGCTAAACAAGAAAACAAAGACAGTGAAAACCAGAATTATGTTACATATTAACAAGAAACGATCGTCATCCAAAGAGTATAGCAATTCTCCTCGTGAGGTATGTAATCAGCTGACAGTTCTTAGCATCCCAAAGAAAACATTTAGCGCATCTTCATGCTTGTTGTTCATACAATACCATGACCATAGAGTACTCCACACAACAACTTGTTCATGAACCTTATCGCCCAACACCTTCCAAGAATCCTCTGTTCTTTTGCAGTTTGCATTAAACGTTATAAGCAACGCATATGCAGTAGCATTCATATACCCATATTAAACTTGATGACGAAGTAATGAACTTGTGTATCCATATTAAACGCTGGAGCATTTGCACAAGCAGTGATTACACAACATCTTCTTGAACAAAATAAGAGCTTTTTCAGTTCTCTTAGTCTGCTCTAACCCAGAGATCATTGTTGTCCATGAAATCACGTTCTTTCGAGGAATATGTGATTAACAACTTCACGGCATCGTCTACTTTACCAAACTGCAAATACCCATGAACCATCCCAATCCACGCTGCAATATCGTGTGGAATGATATTGCTTGTAAATAGCCCTTCGTGTGGTCCCCACAATATTTAACTCCCATCTGAAAACCAAATTTGATCAATTTTGTTTCAGCTGAATCAATTATCCTGCCAAGAAAAAAGAGTTATCATATAGATTTTGTTGAAGACAAACTTGTTCGTTCAAGAGAAAAAACAATAATTTGGAAGAGAAGCAAAGAAAGGAGGTATGTGTATAAGAGTGTAACAAAATACATAAAGTTATGAGTTCTGACCTTTTTCTATAGTCCGAAACCGTTGCTGATGGGTGCAGCTATATCTCCATCTCTGTTATGGTCTTAGAGAACTCGCAGAATGCTTTATGACGTTAAGATATTGCAATGTTAAATATCAAGATATGGGCGAGCTGCAAGTGACAAAAGGAGCCACAACAAAAAAAAAGTTTTGATCTCCAGAAGCAAAGGTAGACTCTTTCTTTAATCGGTTAGATCGTTCATGTAACCTACAAATATTAATTAAATCAGGATATAAAAACAATTGAGTTGCAGAATTTAATACAGCACAGCAAGTGGAAAAATGCACTTTCTAAGCAAGGATTCCTAACATCCGGCAGCAAATAAAAGCCTTAATCGTTGTCTATATTACAGAACCCAAAGAAAGAGTTTGATATAAATAAGCTTAATAAGAAAACTTCACAGGGGCATACTAACCTTGAAACTCTTAGAGCATCGTTATTGATGATTTTTTGTGGGTGTCATTAGATATAAAATTATTAAAATTTAAGTAAAAGGAAGAAAGAGAGTGTTTTTGGTTGAAATAATGGAGTATATTGAAATATAAAATTAATAAAATTTGAATAAAAAGAGGAGATGAGTTGATACTTTTGAAGAGAGAGTGTCTTTGTATCAATGGGTTGATACTTTTGGGGAGAGTTGAAACTTTAGTTGGGGTGTGTT